TATATATATATATATATCTATAGTTATGTTTGTATATTAGGGCAGATATTTATATATATGTCTGATTTAATGAGACATTTCTTAACGAACGCACACACTTAATTGGCCAAGATTTACGTTCACGCTTTAGCCATATCATTTAGCACTGCACAGTCACAGGAGCAACACAAAATCGTATTGTTGTTGATGTTGTTGTTGGAGGTGTTGTTGTTGCTGCCAAGTGTAATCAAGTGCCACTAAAGATCTCTTGAATCTCTCTCGTTTTGACAACTATTACCATAACAAATCAGCGCGCCTGACTGTGACAGCCCAATTGAACTGCACAGTCAACTACAACAACACTAACAGCAACAACAGCGATGGCAACAACAACAACAGGAAGCCGAAAAAAAAACTGACAACAGCAAAATATTTACACGGCACAACTATCGACAAAAAAAAAAACGGGGAAAAAAAAAGGAAATGTTGAGGTAGAACGGATTTCGTTTGGGTTTGGCAGAGGTTTGCCGTGCTTGGGATAGTGGGTACTGCGGCTGGCTATAAGCCACCAATGCCAACGAGTCAACGTAGCCGTTGCCGTGAGCGTCACTAAACCAATTCCCGCAGTGACAACGAGGCTGAAGCAGGCTGAGAAGGACAAATGGAATGGGGCAGAGGTGGGTAGAGGTGGGTAGAGGCGGGCAGAGGTGGGCAGAGGTGGGCAGTGGGTAGAGGCAGGCAGTGGTCGGTGCTGGGGCTAACCAGGACGAGTTGGTTGACGAGCCGCGCTGTGGCAGGAGGCGCTGCTACGCCGCCACGTTCACGGGCCGTGCTTGGGCTTATCCTTGTGTCTGTATTCGCCGCTTTTTATGCCACAGTCGTAAATTCCAATTATCGACGACGTCGAAGCACGGCAGCAGCAGCACACACCAGCAGTGCCAGCGACGCCAGCAACTACAACTGCCTCCGCAGAAGCCGGCGTCGATTTGTCGAGTCGCTCGAGTCGCTCGAGCCGTCGAGCTCTGTGAAGTGGAGCGTTTTTCAAAGTCAGAGCCCGGCACGCGGCGCACGAGCCCGGCGTTTTATTATTATTGTTGTTGCTGTTGTTGTTGTAGCTGTTGTTGTTGTTGTCGAGTTTGTTGCTATTTTAGTCACAGTTTTGTTTCGTTTTCATTAATATATTTAAATTTTGGGTAATCCTTGTTATGTGGCAGCAGGTAATGCCACGCAAAACCGAAAAACCGAAATTGAAACTCGAAATTGGATTTGGTTTTTTTATTTCTGCACACACTTTTGTTGTTGTTGCTGTTGATGCTTGGGTCAATATTTTGAGTTATATGCGGATATATGAATTTGTTGACTATTAATTAATCAATTTCGCTCATTAATTTGATTGAATTTCGGTTGGGCGAAAGAAGTCACTGAAGTTTCACAAATACCTTTCACACTCCTCTTTCTCTCTCTCTTTCTTTCTCACAGACGCACACGCCAACACACACACACGCTCAGATGTAAGAAAACATTACGCTGCCTGTGTGTGTGTGTGTGTATGAGTGTATGAGCGAGTAGAATGCGTGCGTGCGTGTGTGTGTGTGTGTGTTTGAGTTCGAGTGTGTTTTGGTATGCGCTTTAAACGGATACCCTAAAGCGAACGCATTGGGCTACATTTCAACGTAGGAGCGCAGAGTCCGTGTGCAACATGTGTACCGTTATAGCTTCGCGTATCTACTGGATACACGACTTCAACATCGTCACACTCGTCGCTGCCAACGCGTCTCTGCTTTGATTTTGTATTTCGAATTTTCGAACTGCCGGAGCGACGAAAGAGAAAATCTAATTGGAATTCGAATCAGCAGCTAAAGAGCTCAGCCCTCACACGAGCTACTTAGAATGTGTGTTAAGTTTAGTGCCTTTGACTTTGTTTATGCTATTGTTTTTGTTGTTAGAATATTTAAGACATTTTGAGATTACAGAAGAACAAACATAAATGTTAATTTTTAAATAAATTTATGTAAAAGAGATCATATTTAATATACGAAAAATATGAACAAATCTTATATAAAACAGGCTGTTTTTTTGTTTATATCCAGGAGAAAAGGCTTAGGTTTTATATATAAAATATATATAGCAGCATAAAATACTTTACAATTTTTTTACAATTCACAGATACATGGGCAACTCATTCATAAATCTCGATCGTAAAAAAATATTTAATTCAATAGCAGCAATAGCAAAATTTAAGCTAATAACAGAACAGCCTGTTAGCGGCCAGCAGCCGTTTGCTGTTAAGCGAGTCTGTTTCAGCTACAGCTTTGATTTTTCGAACTTTGAGTAAGAGAGCTTAACATTGCAGCCAAAGAGTCAACAGCGTAAACTTGGCGATATTCGAATTTGCTGTTGACAGCATTGAATATCGTAAATGTTTTTTGATATCGGCTGCGACTGTTAAGATTCGAAATGGCCAAACTCGTGCAGTTTGGAAATCAAATTAAATTGGAAAGGCAATAATTTAATTTTAAATAAAATATTTTATGAAAATTGAGTCAACAAACACAACCAATATGATTTTTTTTATTATATAGAATGGGTAATAATACCAAATTGAAAACAAATTAATTGATTTTAAATCAAATTAAAAATTTCTGTCAATATAATTATTTTGATTATATTTAAAGTTTGTAGTTTTCTGTGAATGAACACGTAAAATCACTTCGCGCTTGCCGCCAGTGCAATTAAAATAAACTGGATATATCGTACAAAAACAAATTTGAAATATTTCGATGATGAGCTTTAATGTTTTTTAAATCATTTTGCATATATTAAGTGCCCAGCCCAATTCAAATTACTTTTGAACCATTTAAGAGACATTTTATAGGCCACTATAAATAGTCGGCTATACGCGATTGGCGACCATATTCAACGGGTTTTTAATTGCTTTCAATGTTGTTGCTAATTAATTGCTGAATTTGTTTTAAGCAAACCAATTTGTTACAGTTTTACAGTTCTGGAGCATTTTTTTTTAATTTTATTTTATTTGTTTTTTGTTTTTTGTTGTATCGTATAATTGAGCATATGCTGAAAGCAAATGTCAAAATGGGCTTAAACAAGCAACAAGCGAAGCCAAATCATACAATATATCCCATATATGTATGCATGTATGGGTAGAGCATTTAGAGCATATTTCATTGCATCACATTTGGCCATTTGCATATTTGCATAAATTAAATGCAATTTAAATTCAAAACTCTCCGCTCTTATCTGGGCAAATAAACAAATACAATATTGAATACATAATGATAATTAAATTGGTTAGACTTGAGAGTCGGCGCACATATAAATATTGACAGCATTTGCGTTAAAGCCAAGAAATCATTGGGCCCACAAATTTGTTGCTGGCAAACAGTTGAAATTCGAAAATAAATCCATTTGATCGCCCGCGTCTGCTCGTATAATTTGGTATCAATCAATATGTTGAGCCGCTTGTATAAATAAATTCTCTCAACTTCTGAAGTAGATTTCCATAATTTTATCTTGTGTGTTCGCTTCATTTTTGTTTTGGGTTTTATATTTTTTTTCGAGAATTTTTTTTTATATTTTTTTATTTTGCAGAAAACAATTCAGTCTGATACAGCCAGATGTTATTCATCATGTGGCTTTGTTGTGCCTTATCGTGTGATTGATGCGCCATATTCACACGATTCGATATCGGAAAGGAAGTAGTAAAGATGCTCAGCCAATTTACAAGAACAAACACACGCGTAGCTGTGCTCACACGTACACTGAGAGAAATGTGTTAGGAGTTGTACTAATAATTGTGAAACCAAGATTGTTGGGGCTTAAAAGCAAATTAGATTGAACTTAAGCTGAGATAAATCAAACTTGAACCTGATAGATTCAACAGAAAGTCAACACTTTTTGGCTGAGTGTAAGTGAAAAGGTCGAATGAGAGAGAGAGAGAGAGAGAGAGAGAGAGAGAGAGAGAGTTGCATATATGTACATATATAATTCATTAGAGTCATTTTTAAAGCTGATGCAAAACTCTTCATCTTTTGTCAAGTTTGAAGCTGGTTTTTCGCTGAGTGTACATCACACATACATATATTGACTTAAAGTACATTATGACCACCCATATGTACATATGTTTAAATGGCTCGAGTGCAATCACCTGGTCCACAATCGAAACGGGTGCATTAAATCGTTAAAGTAACATATACAAATTAATGCAAACAAAAACACGAGTGCTTCCATTCCACAGAGGGAGAGAGAGAGAGAGAGAGGGACAGACGGAGTGAGAGTGAGAGTGAGAGCGGTTGAGGGGGACTATTTTCCATATTTGGAGCTGGGGCGGGGGCGCGGGGGCGGATCTTGTCAATAGTTACGACTTTCTGATGTGCCATGGAATGCTAAGCAGATCAAAAGCCCAGGCACGAGCGACTGCGGCACGAGGTGTGAGAATTCTCAAGTGAGCTGGCCATGCACTCAGCTGCCTGCAGGCAAAGTTCTAGACGACGACCCTCTATCTCTCTCTCGCTCTCGCTCTTTCTCTCCGTCCTGCTTTAGGAAGAAATGCAGCTTCGTGGACTTAACACTGGGGATTTGTGGTTTATTTTTGGGCATTCATTGTGTTGGCTGGCTGCCTGCTAGCCTAGCTGGGCGAGCTCATAAAATAGGTGTGGTCATATCATCAATAAATATTCTTCCGATGCTTCAATAAAAAGAAGAGCAACGAGCAAATTAGCTAGAAAAATACTCAAAAAAGAAGAATGTTTAGAATTGAAAACAGTTGCACGCTGTGCGACCCAAAAATAGCAACGTCAATGGCATCCGAAAGTAAACAAAAGAAAATGCACCAC